TTATGACGTTTGCTATTTTATTCATCTTATAAAAAAAGAATGAAGTCGTTTCCTTCAATAATAGCTGCGTTGCAATGTTTTTGCTTTTCCGCTAATTACGCAAAAAGGGAACAAGATATTTCCATAATTTTTTCTACAATAGCTACAGCAAGAATTGGGTTATGTAATACCCGAAATGTATGAATTTTCGTGGAAAAATAAACTATTTATGGACCTGTACATCGCGACAAATCACGCATTTTAGAGTACTTTTTTGTGAGGAAAATTCGATAACGTAAAAAGTCCCGGCAGCAAAAATTTACAATTTACGTATGTTAACAACAACTTACCAATTCATACGTTCCAAAAATTTCATTAATATCGGCTCCAGCGATTTTGAGATTTGAGCCTTCAAAGTGAGCGGACTCTACATTTTACTCCGATTAGAAGAGGCATAAAATACTAACGCACCGTCTCAACACATTCCTCATACCAACGACAAGAAAACGGTTAACTTATATTTAGCAAATTTGAAATGAAGATTTTAAGTAGTACCTATTAATATTTTTAGCGCATTTGTGAAAAAAATACGCTATTATATTCGTTATGGCTGGCTGGCCGGCAGGGTGAGATCTCAGCAACTACAATAGTTAGAGACTTCAAATTTTCACTAAAAGCTTTCTGCTATAGTGTAGATGTGCAGGCTCTAGTCTATTTTGTGTTAGATTACTCGTGAGATCGATAATTTTAAACGTCGCTAATCAAACACTGACTTGTATTATTAAAAATGCGCTTTAATCATGCATATGCTGATTTACAACTTGTTTCTATACTCCTATAGGTACTTTAATTGATATATGAAACATTTGCCACCTATTTCGATACAGATTTTCAGTTTACGACCAATATCACGGGATAACGACGCATAGTTTACGAAAATCAAAGTTACCATACCAAAGATAGATCTAAAATTTATTAGTTTTGACAGCTGCAGGGCATAGCGAATTTGTGTTTTCTCTCAATTCCCATACAAACGTAACCGTAAGATTTCATTCGGCGGTTTTTAAATTTGACAGTCGTCCTCCGCCCTGCGCATGCTTTAATAAGGTGCCTGACTTCACTACCTGCACGCAATAAAAATATCAAATTTTGAACCGCTTTTGAACCCAGTGTGGAATCACCTCCTTATAGCTCATCATAGTCATAGAAAAAATAGTGTATGAAACTTGCATTTAATGGCTATTTAGACACTCATATTTCATGCTCGTGTCTTAATAGCGCTCATTACATAATATACTATTTGAAGATTTGTTACGCCACTGGCAAAAATAAAATATGTTAAACAAACAAACGCACCAGGCTCTAGCTCAAAATTAATTTTATAGTTTTTACCTGGAGATCTTCTATCTTTCGGGTCGGTAAATTAATCTACGACTATATAACACAATCAATATGACAGATTTAGCATGAATACTTTGAATGTCATTAGTCATTACGGTTTTCATAATAGCACTAGTGTTCTTATGAATTAAAAGCACGGAAATGATAATTATCACTATTTTCTACGGCGAACATCAGTATTGACAAACGCGATTACCATGACATTTGGCATCCACTATTGTTCTTCTAGTATAAAAACATTCACGTTAATCATCGGAGTTAGCCGCCCACTGCAAAACTGATCGCTCCGTTGACTTGAACTTCAAAAAGTCAAGAATCAACGATACTGACGTGATGCTACATGCGAATGATTTAAATTTTGATCACCCTTCTACAGGGTGTTTTAAAATTAACGATCAAGTCTAATAACTGCGAACCTTCAAAAGTTGATTTTTTCAAATGAAACCTGTTTTATTTTTTTGCACTTTCAAATGTGGAAAAAAATGTACGTCGATCACATATTACATTCCCAATACCTATCTGTTATGGTTTTCGTTTTATTTAAGTTATCGAATGCTTTGATGTGATTTAACAAGATAATTCGGGGATTTTACGTTTATATTAGTCGAGCAGCCACCGTTTGTTTTTAGCGCATTTTTGCAAATTTATTTGTAAAAAGGTAGCTTTGACTGGCTGGCTAGCTGGCTAGCTGGCAATAAATGCGAGCCCGTAGAAGAACGCTTGTAAAAAAATTATCAAAGTCCTCGTTTGAGATCGAAGGGACTTTAGCGCATTTTTGTGTGGCAGATCAGTATTAGCCACTTTCGACTCAACCATCAATAACAGATCTTGTCGAAGGCTACTACATTCACTAACCGCTTCCCACTTTCCGCGTGCACCAGCAATTCGCTTTTAAAGATTTGACTCCACCATCAGTAAGATCGTGTCGGGGGCTACCACATTCCCTTTGACGGTACCCACTTCCGACGTTCCGTTCACCCGCAATTCGCGTTTGAAGATTTGACTCCACCATCAGGAAGATCGTGTCGGGGGCTACCACATTTCCTTTGACGGTACCCCCTTCCGACGTCCCGTTCACCCGCAATTCGCGTTTGAAGATTTGACTCCACCATCAGTGAGATCGTGTCGCGGGCTACCACATTCCCGTTTACGGTACCCACTTCCGACGTCCCGTTCACCCGCAATTCGCGTTTGAAGATTTGACTCCACCATCAGTGAGATCGTGTCGCGGGCTACCACATTCTCTTTTACGGTACCCACTTCCGACGTCCCGTTCACTCGCAATTCACTTCTATTGGCGACACGAGAAAGAGAGACAGCGATTCGAGATTCACGAAACGTTAAACCGCGTGAGTTCGCAACGGAAGGTAAAAGGCGCCTGACTACTTCTCGAAGACGCGCGCGCCGCCTCGCAAAAGGTCGTTAATTTCGCCCCTATGACAAAAAACAAAATTCCGCCACGCAGGAGTTGTGCGCGTTTACAACATCTTTCCGACGACACCAATTTCAAAAGAATCGGACCAAAACTGTAGTAGAAGATAGGAAAAAACTGAAAAACCTTCACGTTAGTATACTACGCTCGAGGATGACGCCCAGATGTCGCCAACCCCACATCATGTAGCCATGTCCCTAAGGTTGACAAATTTCACGGCCCTGTAGATACACGTACACCCGTTGCCTTTCTACAAGAGTTCTTCTACGCGCCCACATTTGCTGCCAGCCAGCCAGCCAGCCAGCCAGCCAAAGTGAGATTAAAAGCTACTTTTTACAAAAAAAATTTTTTGCAAAAATGCGCTAAAAACAGGCGGTGGCTGCTGGATAATATTCTCTTTTTTAACATTGCGACAAATGTAATTATGTACCTTATTATTAGTTACTCTTTGCTTCTACTTGCATGCATTCCACTAACATAATCCCCGTATGCACATTTGCTACGGTTTATTATAGCATAGTGTAAGTCTATTCTTTACACTAAGATTATAGGTACAATAATACAGCGGCCCAATCGTGTCGCGTAAAAAGGAAATGAAATGTTCGGGAGATTTTGGCGAAACTAGGGGTCTATCGAATATTTTTCAGTTGAGGATTGACAACATAAACTAAACTTTCGTCCATTGGGTTTTAACTGTTATTGCATAACACATCTTACCACTATGATATGATAAGCCTTTATGCCAAAATAATTTATTGATGCAAAGGATAATGGAACCATGCGCAGATGTACAGTAATTGACATAAGACTCTTACCTCCGTCGTAGTAGTTGAACAAATATAAACCAACGTAATTAATTGAAACATTCCAATCACAAATTCGTTTGTGATATATACCACATCTGACAAAGAAAGTGTAATCCTTGAATGGGGCACGCTTTGGATCGCCCAATAGAATAAAGTTAGTATAGAGTTAAGAAAATGATTAAAAACAAATAGTAAAAGTGGTATTCCATATGCCTTGTTGATCAACTCTGTGGTTACTCGCAAATTAGAATGGAGCTTTTTAACTTGAACAATGGAAATAATCGCATCTCGTTCACATCGACCACCAACCTCTATCCTACAATGTAAAATGTGAAACGAAACCCAACGGGAATTCCAAACCTGTGCTTCCATAGTTGGTCCCCCATATGAATAACTTTGTCATTTGTCCATTTGAATCTTTGTTTTATAAGAAATACAAGCGAGCAATATTGTAGTTCCACCATACTTTCCGTTACGGTAGGATATAAGTAAGCTATTACATTTCCAACAAATGCAAACGAAAAGGTATAATAATACGTCCCGAAGTTTAAACATATATAACTAAGAAAATAGAGACTTATCAAAACTATGACAGCTGAAACTATAATCCTGCATTTTCTGTATGATTTTTCGGCGTCTTTTACGTATGCAATCTTTGCCATGTGATTATCGACGGTATTAATTAAATTGATGGCCTCCATTACCTCAAAATCAAATTGTATAGGTACAGATAAACTGACGTGTATAGTTACATACCTTGTATCGATGAACTACGCTGAATATGAAGCTGCACGCCATACTCAACACTCCCATATAGATGGATAAATGATCACCTATAAGTATCACTATGCTCTTATTATGCCTGGCTCCATCACGAAAGGTAAGGGAAAATATTGATAAGGAGCTAAAAGTTAGCATTAGTGAAAGGCTCCATAGCGTTGCTAGTTTGTGATCGGATGGTTTGGTTTGCGAAATTGTAAATGAGGCTAATCCATACACTTTACTAATTCTGAATAAAGGTTTTAGTACCGTGAAAACTGCAGGATACTTAGTCATGTCCGAAATGTAGGTGTTGCCCTTGTGAGACAATTAAAAGGGTAATATTGGTGGATACGCCTAAATACCATTAATCATCGCAAACATTTGTCCTCATTAATACTGAATGATCCTGACTTTTCGTTCGTTGCCTGCCGTGGGTGTTTCATGTTGTTTTCGTTTGGAAGTTCTGTAATCATTTACTTACAGGGTGTTCAGTTTAGTTGTGTAATTCTGCGTCGCCGTCTGTGAGTGTAGCAAACCCTCCAGGAGTACACATAAACCTGACTGACAATGAAAACTACTAACATTAATTCTTGTCTCGTTCATACTCTATATCAATTAGATAGTGTTATGAATTTATTTATATTTCCAGATAATAATTACAAAGAAAATTTAACGATCGATGTCACCCAATACGAACTCCAGTGATGCTGGAACATAAACTTCACACATTGCACCGGAAGACGAGTTTCTTACCGATCATTACGGGAATGTCTGCTAACATCGTGTCTGGTTTCAAAAAGTACTTCATCGCTCCCAAATGGGCAAAACCTGGCGGTCTAACTTTCACACGATAAGGTCGTGATGAACCGTCGGACACGACATAGACGCCAAATTCTCCTGCAATATCATTTTAGTAAATGCTATGAGATTAACGAATACACCTTTTGGATGCTCCGTTCCAACGTATGTGCACCCTGGAGGAACGGCGAAACCCGATGAGAATAGTTTGAAGTGGTGTATCACACATTCCATACTTTGCTGAAATTAGATACAAAAGATACAACAAGATTCATTAACCATAAGAAAATGCATGAACTGTAGTATACATTCTTTTCGATAGCATCTTGTCGATTATTTCTAGGTTCATTCTCATAGGAAGATTTTCTTTTTTAAAAAATGCTAGGTTAAAAGTAGACAAAGTGTAACATGTTTTTTTAACAAAGGTCATAGTTGCTTTCGGAATGAAATGTTTTATATTTTTGTAGAATGGAATAAAATAGAAACTTTCAAAAGTTTATAAATATATAGGCGATTTTGACCTCAACTGTCATCATACAGTCACAACGCCAATAGAACTATTTCAAATCGCCACATCAAATAGCCCTATGACCTGATGATGATCTTGAGACAGAATTCGATCTTCAGCAAAGAAAAAGTTTATCAATCTTGATTTATCTCCACTTCACTATTTCTACGACGAAACCCTTACAAGTGTTTAAATCGCGGTCATGGACTAATCCTTGTTAAGGTCAAACTTTATTGAAACACGGAGCACGGAACAGTGACCTTTATGACATAGTTTATTTAATTTTTTAATCGTAACCAACTATCTAATTTTTCTTATTACCACTTAACAGCAATGTGTTTCTAATCATCGGCTAGAACTATAACTAACTGCGTACCTTCATTTCCATTCTTGTTGGAGGTGTTATTTTGTAATCATCCACTTTTACATCCCCTTCAGGCATTTTGTTGAGGCACTGACCAATAATTCTACAAGACTGTCGCATTTCATACATTTTACACAACCATCTATAAATGAAAAAAAAATAAGTAAGATTATTATTATGTTTCGGTAAAGCAAGATTGTTTTTCAAAAACAATTTCACGGAGGAGGATATAGTGACAGAATGATAGAATTCCAGAATGGAAATTCAGTTCTGTGCTTTCCTTTTGATAGGTCATATTGAAAACCAGCTAAATTAAATTATTTGCCTTCTGCTTTGAAAGTGTAATGTAATATAAATGTTTAATTGGAATTCACTTAAATAAATTTAAAATAGAGATACTAACGCATCCAGCACTTTAAAACAGCTCAAACTTTCAATTATGTACGAAAATTTGAGCATAGAATCTCATTTAACAAAAAGACGTCACGTACTAAAATATATACAATTGCGTAAACATTTTATATTAAAGTAATTTTCAAGGGAACTAGCCAGGGTAATTAAATAAAAGAATATCTTTGTTGACCAAGAGGAGAGATAATGTCACCCATAAGAAAAATCCCTGTATGACACGGTTTTTCCTATTTTTTGTTCAGTATTTGACAAATTTTATTTTCACCATTTTTATGGGGAAATCGGGAAGACTAGGAAGGGAGTAATGGAAGCGTCAGGGAAAATCTAGGAGATACATTTTGGTAATACCAATCTGGTATGGTCATTTATTAAGAATACAGGACAGCCACAATGGAACAAGACCACTGAACTATAATTAAACTGGAATGCGCACTGCCGGCCTCTGCCATAGAAACGTAGAGCGCCGAGAGAGATAGTGCAAGGGAGATTTCTGTCACTGTCACTCATTGGGAAACTGATCATTAATGTAATTTCAAAACATATCAAATAGGCTGCTCTATGCATGCCCGAGAGTAGGACAGAGTAGTATAGTAAGGCCGATCCTGGCTCACTTTACATGGAAAAGTGCCATATGATTGAAGTGTTAGCGTTTCAAGGTCAAAGTGGTGTTGAAGGTCAAAGTGGTATTGCGTAAGTGGGGGTGGGTGGGTTTCAAGGTCGAGTGTTGAGAAGAAATGGGGTGTATTGTTTGTGTTTTTCGGAGGGGGGGTGATGGGTGAAGGCCATTGGATTTCAAGGTCGAGTGTTGAGAAGAAAGGGGTGTATTGTTTGTGTTTTTCGGAGGGGGGGTGATGGGTGAAGGCCATTGGATTTCAAGGTCGAGTTGTGAGAACAAAGGGGTGTATTGTTTGTGTGGAGGGGGGGTGGCGGCGGCTCAAGGCCATTGGATTTCAAGGTCGATCGCTGAGAACAAAGGGAGGTTGTGTATGTTGTTTGTGTGTAATCAAATTGTTTGTGTTTTTCTGGGGTGCCGCCTCAAGGTCAAACGTGTTGCAATTTAAATATAGATATTAGAAGATGTTAGCTTGAAATGTGGTTAGTGTTAAGGGGGAATATGCGGCGAACGGCTGTTGAATGCCTTCATCAAGCCTTATTGGTATTGCTATCTGATGCTGAGCATGAGGCGGTCTATGGACCTGAGACTTTTAGGGAACAGTGTCAAAACATTGTCCAAACGTATGAGTTGGGGATTGAACTATGTAGACTCTTTTTAAATTACAAAATATGCGTTGATTGCCTTATAAACGGACTGAACGACTCAGTTGGGTGAATACATAATATGGTGATGAAGAAAGTTACATTTGACGATAGTAATAATCGCGTGTATGTACTGGTCGCGTGGTCCTTTGCATATAGTGCGGCACGAAAAGGGCCTTGGGAAACTATGGCCTTGGATAGATTTCGCTTTAGTACAAAAATAGAGCAATTTTGTAAGATATTGTCTCCCGTCTTAGCAGAAAATCATCGTTTATCAGTTTATCTGACTAGATTTCAAGGTCACCAGAACTCAATGTAATGGTATATCGCACTAGATTTCAAGGTCACCAGACAGTAATGTTTATCGCATTAAATTTCAAGGTCAACAGACAGCAATATAATGGTGGTAGAAACGGTGAATGGAATCAGTCGAATAGTGTTCGCTAATCAGTTAAAATGGATCTTAATCAACTCAACAGTAGCACCTACTGCAAACCTTTCAAGAACGTCAAGGATATGAAGGTCGGTGAAAAGTATAAAGTGATTGGTATCGACCTAATCAATACCAAATATGGCGATCGAATACTGATCGATACTGAGAACTTTAAGTGCATCCTTCCTTTGCGCTTTTATGACTACTTCAAGAGCGACAACCGTCTGCAGATCTTCAAGGACACCTTGTCCAGGGAAGAAGTGTTTATAACAAGCGCCGGAACGGCGGGGGAGACTACTAATTTAAAATTTATGTAAAAAAGTTGTAAATGAGATAGAGAGAAATAATAAAATGTTGTTGATGAGAGAGAGAAATTGTGTCTCTTATTTAAATGCATATCCACCCTTAGAAACACTTTAGTTGTTCTGTGATCGTGGGGTCGAGATCATCTCAACGAAAAAAAGCTCCAAAATGGATACAATCAGTTGTACTAATAATTATTTCTCGTGCTCGTGCTGGTGCTGTAATAACAACAAAGACACTAGTGATGATTCTATCACCCAGTTTGCTGAAAATGTGCATAGTAAAGCTGCCGACGAACGTTTAATCGATTGCTCATCATATGACCTCTACGATGGTGAAAGCAATTCGAAGAAATATATTGAAATTGGCTACAGTACGCATCTTAATTTGGCCCCAGTTTTACGAATTGTGCACTCTCCATTAAATGCGATAGTGATGGTGAAAGAAGATTGGGAAATGCTTCTAAAGCACCAAACATATCTCGAGATGAAGTTCTTTAGATCTCAAGAGCTCGAAAATTGGATCGACTGGTCCAATGTTAAGGAAGAAGATATTGAGCACGACAAAAGTTCTGAATCGCTTAACGCAAATTTTACTATTCATTATAACAGGAAATTTGTGCGGGATCCCACGACGACTGAGAAAATATTAGAGAGCGTAACAATACAACGTGATAAGCTGCATTATTGCACGATGAGTAAGTACGTCGTTGAAGAATTGTTTAATCTAAAAGATATAATCAACTATCGTTTGGATTTACTGGAATCGTACGCTCTGTCCTGTTTCTATCAGGATGTTATCGAACAGGTGATTAACTACCGTCATTTTCGTAAAATGGAGTTTGGTAACGAGGACGAGGGCGACGATGACAACATCTATCGCGATATTGAAGACGTATTAAACTATAAGTTTAACGTCAATTCTCATAATACAGTTTGCATGATGGAATTATTATACTATCGACCTACTTATTTTATGTATCACATATGTCAATAAACGTACTTTATTTGAGCATTTTTGTTTTATTTGATGGATGGATTTCCTATAAATATGGCAACTTATTGCCGCAATTCAACAATGTTGAATCGGAAGCGGAAGTGTACGGATGGGAGTGGCTTGGTTAATAATCTCATAAACAAACTTCCAGTGGAACTACATATTCCTGGCTATCAGTATTGCGGACCTGGTACTAAATTAGATAAAAGGCTAAAGCGAGGCGATCCCGGCATAAATCCCCTAGACGCTCAGTGTAAAGAGCACGACATTGACTATAGAGATAACCAAGACTTGGAAGGTCGACATCAAGCAGATCGCCTTTTAGAGCGGAAAGCTTGGGAACGATTAAAAGCTCCCGACGCGAAGTTAGGAGAACGAGCAGCCGCTCTTACGGTAGGTACCATTATGAAGGTGAAAAGAAAGTTGGGGATGGGCGTTAAGGGGAAGAAGAAGAAGAGCAGTAGTTTATTGAATTTGCGTAGGACAATAGCCAGGAAAATGAGGAAAAGCGGCAACACCGCTGACATAATAAAGTCGGCTGTTACGGCTGCAAATATGACCGTAAAAAGTTTAGGTGGTAAGAAAAATGTAAGTGTGCCTAGAATAATTCCCATACCAAAACAGGGTGGGGTTTTACCATTCCTGATACCTTTATTCGCCGGTCTATCGGCAGTTGGAGCTTTAGCCGGCGGAGCGGCGGGGATTGCCAAAGCAGTTAATGCATCTCGTGACGCTCGTAAAATGCTAGATGAAACCTCGCGCCATAATCGCACGATGGAATCGCTCGCTATAGGAAATAAAAGTGGCGGTGTGCTGTTTCTGAAACCTTACAAATCGGGAGGCAGTTTGGCGCTGCATTTACAAAAAAAAAAAACTTCAAAAAATTGCCAAACCGGCCGTTGACTGATGTAGATCTACGTAAGCATGCAAAGGGGTGTGTACCATATTTTAGGGACGTGTTTATGCGAGATAATATGCCTACGGCCCCATGGGAAAATGAAGATGGCGTTATTAATTTAGATAGTCAAAGGGGGCGTGGCACTCATTGGGTCTCGTATAAGAAACGTGGTGGATGCGTTTGGTACTATGATAGCTTCGGTAATATTCCACCACCGCGTGAAATAGTCGAGTATTTCCGCGACTGTAAAATCTATTATAATTACGGGCAAGAGCAACAATTCGGTACGACGAATTGCGGTCATCTGTGTTTAAAATTTTTGTATAAATAACTCGAATGTCGTTGGTGAGCGCGTAGTAGTCATGTCGACGACGTTCAGTATAGAGGGCGTTGGAAATACGGCGAGTCACGATTTCTATCCACCTATTGAACTTCATCCGGGAAAAATGTACGTCATCGGGATGGTGGGGTTTTACGGCTGTAACAGCATAAGAAACATTCACGCGGGAAACGATAAGTTTTACTATAAAACTGAGTCAAATAGCGTATACTCCAAGGTGATAACAATTCCGCACGGTGCGTACGAGTTGGAAGAGATAAGCGAGTATATAAAAGCTCACATTCCTACAAGTCGCTTTAGTCTACGTGCAAATAACAATACGCTCAAGTGTGAACTTAGCTGCGAATTTGATATAGATTTCACTCAAAGAGACTGCATAGGACGCATGCTCGGTTTCGAATCGAAGATATTGGATGCGAATGTTCTACATACCTCTGCTTTAGATATACAAATCATTAAGCATACCAACATTCACATAGAGTGTAATCTCATTACGGGATCCTATCGAAACGGAAATCGCGCTAAAGTCCTTTACGAAATAGACGTTTCCGTTCCACCAGGTTATCGCTTAGATAAAATTCCCAGTAATACTCAATATTT